AGGAGTGAGACCCAGGCATCCTTGTTCAGGTTGCCTGGACGAGTGGGTGCACGGTGGGGCCCGTCCGTGTGTCAGAGGGTGCGACTGCCATGGGGAGGCTACATGAGTCAAGGGCAGCTGAGGGATCTTCCCCCTCTTGCTGCCTCTGCTTCGGGAACCAGAGATCGTTGAAACCGCCCTCAGAGCCCAGCCCTTGCTCAGCATCTTCGATTAGGGCAGGAAGTGAGACAGGGCCTGGGAGAGACTCTTACAACCCACATGTCCCCGAAAGCGTGAAGACCGACGATGTGAGAGTGCCAGGAGCACAGGAGGGGTCGGGGGCTTCTGGGGAACGGGGTGCTGAGGGTGGCCGGCCAGGAGCAAGGGCCCCTTGCGGCTGCTACAGTCTCTTTTTAATGAGCTTCTCGAGCTTGCGGATGCGGGACGACTCTTGCTCCGGTGTGGGTGCCGTCAGGGACAGCGAGCTGGAGCTTTCCGCCCCTGAGGGCGGTGCGGGGAGCCGCTGGCGCAGGAGTTCCAGCATGCTGCTCTGCTCGCTCCTCTTCAGCCCCTGAGGTTGAGAGAGGAGAATCGTCAGGAAGTCTGGGCCAGAACGGCCCACAGGGGAGAGCGCGGTACCTGGGTATGGGGTCAGCAGAGGCTCTGTAGACAACATAGTTACTCCAGGCTGACGGCGAACCCTGTCCTCAGGGGACTCATCAGCCCTGGGTAGTAGTGTGGGAGAAAAAAGAGGGGAAGAAACGGTAAAGGAAGAGAAAGAAGGGGCTGAGAGAGGAGAAGGGGCAGGTCAAGGGGCTGAGAGAGGAGAAGGGGCAGGTTAAGAAGGGGCTGAGAGAGAAGGGGCAGGTCAAGAAGGGGCTGAGAGGAGAAGGGGCAGGTCAAGAAGGGGCTGAGAGGAGAAGGGGCAGGTCAAGAAGGGGCTGAGACAGAAGGGGCAGGTCCAGACGGTGGGAAGGACAACACTCCTGTCCTCATTCCCCTGCCCCTGCCCCATCCTCCCTGTGCAGGGGGCCTCAGCAGGGCGTGCAGGGCCTGTCGGAATCCCGAGGTGCACAGGCCTGGGGCCATCCTCCTCCAGAGGCTTCTCCGAATCCGGTTTGCTCTGTGGAGCCAGGCACGTGCATTTTGAGAGAGCCCCCCAGGAACCTGTATCCCAACCCCCCGGTTGAGAACCGCTGAGTGTGAGGTGGATGAGCAGGTGTGGACGAAACAGGATCCTGCACTAACCTTCATGTCCAGTATCTTCTGGAACGTTTCTGTGTTGCAGTCTGTGAGGAGTTTGATGTAGTTGTCAACGAACACCACCAACGGCTCATGAGGGGCCATCACTACCTACGGCAGGGGAGACAGGAGCGGGCCCCTCAGGAAACTCACTCCTCACTTGCCAGCCGAGCGCAAAACGGATTCTGCGACGTTTCCTTAAGCAGCAGCCACCCGACCTACAAACGCCCCAGTGGCCCATCTCATCGTCACATGCCACCACAGCGATGTCGTAAATTTGCTGAATCCTAAATACACCTGCGCTCCTTTGTGACGTACACGTTCCTGGACCCCTCCTCTAAAGACCGTAATTCAGTAGGCCTGGGTGGGGTCCCAGGTGGTTTTTAAACTATCGGAACCATTTGGGAAACCCTGCGTGAGAGGGTCCCTGCTGGAGGATTTCACGGGTACACGGTACTTGATCCTTCTGCCTTGACGTACTGTGATTCCTGAGAAATGGGTGGCAAAAAGAGCTGGTATAAGTAAGTGGATTTCTGCAAAAACAAAAATGCCAAAGCTGCCTCACCTTTTTGAAGATTTAAAATCTGGAACTTCACGTAACAACTCAGTTAAACTATCAATTAATACACAAACAAAGGAACTGCACTGCAACCCTCATTCATTTCCATTTGGTTCTGGAATGCAGTATCTGATTTTCTTTCCCCAGCAGACTGATTTGTTTTGAATTCCTGAGGCTGAACCAAAGAATGGCAAGGAGGAGTTCACTCAGGCATCCTCTGCAGATAATTCCCAGACCGCATGCTCTCCTCCCCAGCAGTAAGCAGCAGGGGAAGAATATGATGAGGCAGTTTCATCCTCACCCACATGAGCTGCTCTACCCTCACCTACACGAGCTGCTCCATCCTCACCCACACCGGCTGCTCCATCCTCACCCACACCGGCTGCTCCATCCTCACACACACGGGCTGCTCCATCCTCACCCACACGGGCTGCTCGATCCTCACCCACACGGCTG